TATAACAAATATTAGTTCGGGGAAGCACAAAAGAGTAACATGTAAACTGAACATATCAACTTATTTCATTGTGGCAAAAAAAACGTATTATTTGAAAATCTCATCAACCAATTAAAAAAATGAATTTTTTACTGCTGCTGAAATATGATTTGTTCCATAAAAGTCAAATTATTATTATTATTATTATTATTATTTTTATTATTATTATTATTATTGTTAAGTAAAGAGTATCTGTAACCAAGATAATCAACAAGTTAATCAACTAAGCTAATATGATAACATACGATTTGACAAAATATTAGTGTTGTCGTTGCTGTTGTTGTTGTTGTTGTTGGGTAAAGAGTATCTGTAAACCAAGTTAATCTACTGAGCTAATATAATTAAATTTGACATTCTTTTTAAAAGCACCAGCAATATTCGAATGTTGGACACATTTAGGCAGAGAATTCCAGACCCTAATAGTAAAATTTAGAAGTAGTATGCAAGTGGTTACATTTAGGCAGACAGATAAAAAATTAAAAAACTAGACGATCTTGTGAAGTGTCCATAAACTCCAAAATATTGGGCGATTTCAAGGGTGTCGGGCAAAAAAAGTGTGTTGGAACCATATAGAAAGACTCAGTTTATAGTTTGTTAAGAACAGTCTGCAACTTTTGTTTAAGTCCAGGAAAACAAACACCGCTTCCGTAGTCAAACTAACAAAGTATAAGGCTGGATACAAGCATTTTTACAGAATTTGTATTCAAATGTTTTCTATTACGATACAGAAACTAGAAAGCTTCCCTTTTTTATAACCAATTACAGTAAGCATGGCTATCAAATTTAAGATTACTATAAAGCTCTAAACCCAAATATTTGGCAGATGTCTGATTAGCAATTACCATATTTCTTGCATTCAATCTTTAATTCAGAATGTTTTTAATCATTCGATTTGATCCGAAAAAGAATGGAAACCATCTTTCCAAGATGAAGTGATAGTTTGTTATCTAAAAGCCAATCGTATACAGACTGGAGTTCTGTAGTAAGCTGTTGTTGAATATCTTTAACGATCTTTTGACGAAAGCAAAGGCCGATTATTATTAATATTATTATTATTTGTTTATTATAAATTTACAGTATACATTCATTAAGCGGTACCACAAGAGGGTTCAGAGTTCTTCAATAATGTATACGGTATTCGATTCGGTCTTGTCATAAGTGCTTATAAATGTTTATTAAGAAGAGGCCGTATTATGTTGATCTCTGTTATTTGCTGTGCAATAACTAGTTTAACTACGCATGCGCAAGAGTGTGAGAAATGAGTTGCATTAAACGGATTTGAATTTCCAACGACGCCTTAATGGCACAGACAGTAGAAGGTCTTGGGTTTGAATCCCGTTTTGGGAAACGTTTTCACACTTGTATATTCCTCTTTAAACGTTCAAAATTATCATTCATTACCGCAAGATGGTTTATATGAAAATACAAGATATGGTTTATGATATGATATATAATGTGATACAACATCGCGTCATATGATGTGATATATGATATGTTGTATGATATGAAATGATATATCATCCGATAATTACAAACGATTTTTATAAATAATTACCTTTGTAATACCAAATGTAGACCAATTGTTAAATATTTCCTTGTTTCGGTAATGTGAATTACTCGCAAGAAACTTGTGGGCGTGGCTATTCGATGATTCCGTACCGGAAATCCAAGCATTATAAATACTACTACCACCTGTTGGTAGACTGACCCCTTTGAATGCTCGAACCCATTCATTTCCTGGTTAAAATGGCATAAGAAGTACTATTATAAATATGAGTAAATTCATAGCTCCTACCATGAAGGCTCCATAGTACTTCTCTGGTAATTGGGGAACACTAAAAGATATTTCTGATAGTTAGATCAGACTTAACTTATCAATTATCATAATCATAATAATAATTTTAATAATAAGAATTATTATTATGATTATGATTATTATTATTATTATTATTATTATTATTATTATTTATAAGATTAATATTATTATTATTACCATCATATTTATTATTATATTTGTCATTGTCGTTCCCATTGTTGTCTTTGTCGTGGTGGTCTTTATCGTTATATTTATCATTATCATTTTAATAATCATCTTCATCAACATCATCGTCATCTCATCATTATTTTCTTTATGATTATTATTGCTGTTGGCGCAGCTGTTATTATTATTAACCAAAGATTTTATAATAACAAGTTCTGTAATAACGCAGTGCAGGACGCCCTCTTGCAATTGCAATTACTTTTAAACTTTGATATCTATGATCTCAGTGCAAATTTTGGAACAAGCGCCACAGTAACAACTAGGACGCCCTCTCTCGGTTACAATTACTTTCTATTGTTTTCTGTGTGAATTGGACGCTTCAATTTGTTACACACAAACAGCGGAGAACGTTTTCTTGTTGTTATAAGATCTTTGCAGTACAACTAAATTCCTAAAAATGACTTGTTGAATTCCAATTGCATTTTAATGCAATAATATTACTCTTCTTGGAGTTGAATCTATTCAAACGGCAGGAATAACCCCATGAATATATCCGAAGACTTACTTCCAGTGGGTCCTTCTGGTGGTGATTGGACAATACACCAGGAGACAATCCCCTACTCTTTTTCCAAAGAGTGTACAAATTAAAATGTTTGGCGACCTTATTTTCTTTCCAACAAATCTCATAAACTTCAAAAGTATACAAAATGACATCTATTTTTAATATTGAATTAAATTTAATAACCGAT